GACAGTTCCACACAGATTTACCATTCAGTGAAGAAATTTCTTATCTCAGTACTGAATGACCTGCCCCATGTCCTGAGGGGATGAGCACCCACACTAGCAAAGGGAAACAACATTCCTCTATCCACTCTGTCCAGCCTTGTCTGAATTTTACGCTTCAATGAGATCCTCTCTCATTCTTCTAAAACCAGTGAATACAAGACCAGTAGACCTAATCTCTCCTTGTACAACCTGCATTGTTCCATAAAATGAACTCCCTCTTTGCAAGTATATCTTAGATAAAGAGTCCAAAATGACATACAATACTCCAAGTGTGGCCTCACCAAAGCTCTGTACAGCTACAGTACACCATCCTTGCTCTATCAAACAATCAAATCCTCTCACATTAAAAGCTAACATACCATACCATTTGCCTCCCTAGCTAGGCAGCACGATGCCTAGTATTGCTGCCTCACAGCACCAAAGGCCCAGAGGTCAATTCCACCCTCGGTCAACTGTCTCTGTTGAGTTTGCACAATGCCCCCTCCGTGTCGGTGTGGGTTTCCTCCTGGTGCTCCGGTTCCTCCCACGTCCAAAGATGTGCAGGTTAGGTAGATTGCCGATGTTAAATTGCCCATAGTGGGCAGGTGGATTAGCCATGGGAAATACAGAAGTAGAGTAGTGGGGGGGTGGGTCTGGGAGGGATGCTCTTTGGAGGGTCAGTGCAGACCCGATGGGCCGAATGGCCTGCCCCCATACTGTAGGGATTCTAACTGTTTGCTGCACCTGCCTGTTTGCTCACCAGTGAAATAACGGTTTGCCTTCTATTTTTCCTAGCAGAGAAGATAACTTCACACCGTTCATCACTACACTGAATCAACCATGTTTGCCCATGCACCAAACTGGTGTAATTTGCCTCGAGGCTTCTTTACCTTCTCCTCAGCCCTCACAATCCCACCTGGTTTTGCATCAATCGGCAAACATGGAAACATTGCATGTGATTCCTTCATCAGTGGAACTCAAGCATTGATCCCTGCAGCACCCATCCAGTAGCAGTCATCCATTGTGTTCAGAGCATGAGTTGCAAGGGGAACATTTTTCTGAAGTGAGTGGCACTCATGTGGACCATTTGCCTGTGGGTGGTGAATGAATGCCTAGTCAGTTGGAAACTGGACTGGCATCCGAAGAAAAGAAATATTCAGGGCAAGGGGATAGAGAGGAGGAAAAGGAACTAATTGAATTGTTGTACAGGAAGCCAAAATGGATTCAATGGACTGAACAGTCTCCTTTTATGCTATAATGAACCTGAAAAATGAATGAGATCTTCACCTCCATAAAGAGGATGTTTTGCTGTTTGGAGGTTGCTCACCCTAGGCCCAGCAAATCATTAATCATTAACATTTCAAAATTTGAAACGCTAATTAGGAAAGCAAAATAAAGATGCAAGTGATGTGATGCAGCTGCAGTTTCTGAAAGCTAGTGATCAACACCAATTGTATGGCAACTGCATCAACAGTAATTGTCCAGAGCTTGAGAAACACCACCTCAGAGTTGATGAGCTAGCGTCCAAACTTAAAACACTGCTATACATAGGGTTGTGGTGGTAGGAGACACTGAATCCCTACAATGTGGTAGCAGGTCGTTTGGCCCATCAAACCCATACTGACCATCAAATCCACAAATCATCCCACCCAGACCCACCCCACCCTGTAACCCGGCATTTCCCATGGTCAATCCTCTTAGCCTGCACATCCCTGGACACAATGGGCAATTTAGCATGGCTAATCCAACTAATCTGCACATCTTTGGACTGTGGCAGGAAACTGCAGCACCTGGAGCAAACACACAGACATGGAGAGAATGTGCAAACTCCAAGCAGAGGTTGGAATCAAACCTAGGTCCCTGGCACTGAGGCAGCATTGCTAATCACTGAGCCATCGTGCTGCCCTATATTTTGAAGAAAAAAAATGCATACAAAGTGCAGGGGGAGGAAGGAAAATAAGGTTGAGGGGCCTAATTCAGTATTGTATTCAGAGAGGCAGTCACATCCCTGGGGCTAAGTAATTCACATTTTTTCTAAGATTACGTGCAGAAGTGAGAGATCAGGTAGCAACGAATTAGCTACAACCCTTGCACATATCCACCCAAGTTCAAGCTTTTTGATACTGTGCTTACAAGAATCATAGAATCCCTACAGTGTGGAAGCAAGCCATTTGGCCCATTGAGTCCACATTGACCTCCTGAAAAGCATCCCACCCAGACCCACCCTATCACTGTAACCTTGCATTTCCCATGGCTAACCCACCTAACCTACACATTCGCAGCCAGCATGGGAAATTTAGCATGGCCAATCCAGCTAACCTGCACGTCACTGGACTGTGTGAGGAAACCACAGCATCCAGAGGAAATGCACACAGACACGGGGAGAACGTGCAAACACAGACAGTTCCGAGGGTGGAATCGAACAAAGGCCCTTGGTACAGTGAGGCAACAACGCTGACCAGAGTTGCTGTGCCACCCCAAGAGCCAGGGCTGAATGGAGGATAAGCAAAACTGACCACTGATATAGGAGCCATTGAATTGGAGAATAAAATGCAATGTTGTGGTCGCGGTAGAAGGCAGTACAGTTGGGGATCTCTCTTATTTTCTGCATCCCAGAACACAAGACCCCAACAGTACATTAACCCTGACACTGGGTAGGCAATGACACAGTCTTGGGGCTAGCGAGTGAGGAACATGGTATGGGAGGGAAGGAAGATGCAATTATTGTAGCCCAGAGTATCAATATGAAGGAGCAGGAGTAGGCTATTCAATCCATCGTTTTGTAACCACAAATCTGCTTTTCTCCCTACTTTTTTTTGTTCATTCACGGAATGAGGGCATTGCTGGCTAGGAGCATTTATTGGCCATCCCTAATAGCCCAGAGGGCAGCTGAGTCAACCACATTTCTGTGGGTCACGTCACACGTAAGCCAGACCAAGTAAGGATGGCAGTTTCCTTCCCTAAAGGACATTCGTGAATCAGATGGGTTTTTCTGACAATCGATGATGGATTTAGTGATCATTAGATTCTTGTTTCCAGGTATTTATTGAACAAAAATTCCACCATCTGCCATGGCAGGATTCGAACCCTGGTCCCCAGAACGTTGTCTGGGTCTCTGGATTAACAGAGATAATACCACTAGGCCATCGCCTCACTCCAATCTTCTACCCCTACTATTATCATGAATCTATCAACGTCTGCCTTAAAAATATACAAAAGATTCTGCGTCCACATTTTCAAAAGATTTCTAAAGAACCTGAAACCTCATTATTTTAAACGGGTGACCTCTGAGCTTTAAACAGTTAACCCCTCGTTCTTAATTCTCCAATAAGAGTGCACACCAGCTCTATACTTACTGAGCCAAGGTCCCTCAAAGTCTTACGTTTTAAATCAAGATCACCCCCTGCTCTTCAGAACTCCAGCAGAAACAAACCTAGCCTGTCCAACTTTTGCTTAAATGACAAACCACTCAATCCAGCTATTTGTCTGGTAAATCTCCAAATTGACTAGAAAGCATTTACATCCTTCTGTAAATAAAGTGACCAATACAGCACACAGAATGCTAGATATGCATTCACAATTTTTGTTGTTAAATCCTCTTGCAGTAAACAGTAACATTCTATAAGTTATCCTAATTAACTGCTGTACCTGCATTCTAAATTTTTTCAATTCATGTACTAGCAGACACCCAGATCGTTTTGCATCTCTGACCTCTGCAGTCTCTCACCATTTAGATGACTTGTCTTTTTTTTAAGCCTTCCCGCTAAAATAGACATTTTTCTCATTTTCCCCACATTATATTTCATCTGACCATTCACTTAATCTACCTATGTCATTTTGCAGTCTCCTTGTTATGTCACTTTCTTACTTATCCTTGCATAACACAGCAAATTTGGCAACCATACCTTCCATCCCTTCATCCTAGTCACTTCTATTAATTGTAAACAGTTGAAGTCCCAGCACCAGCCCACTAGTCGTTCCATATTGCCAAACGGAAAGAGACCCTGTGTTCTGCTTCCAGTTATCTAGTCAAAGTTCCAACCATGGCAATAAGCTAGCAATTACACCATGAGCTTTCATTTTCCACAATAACCTTTCATAATTTCCTTCTGGAAATTAAAGTACAGTTCTTTCATGGGCTCCCTTCCATCCACAGCACATTACTTCCTCAAACATAACCTCCCTTTCACAAAACCATCCTGACTCTGCCTGATTAACTTGAATTAATGTAAATGCTACATTGCAACTTTTTCATGACCATTTTTTGAAATATCTTCCCTCAGACAGAATTTACTGGGAGCACTGTTTTATTACATACTATCGATTCAGTCAGGGTTTTATAGTGCAATTGAATCTAGCTAATCAAGGGCAAACCAACTTTTCAAAATGCAGTAAGAAGTCCATACAAGGTTCATCAAACACTTGTTAATGAACACCTAGCAACAATTCATTGATTATTTAACACATTTGCTCTTTTTGGGGCGTCAGCATACACAACAGCTTGCACAGCTAACTACACTTCAAAAAAGGAAATGAATGGCAAAAATACATTTTTGAATTTCGTAAAACATGAAAACAGGCTACCTAGCCCTCCTTTGGCACCGCGCTCCAACAGCGCTGGCCCTCCCACAACGCTGATTTGAGTTGAGCTGAGCTGTGCTGTGTAAAGAGTTTTTGTCGTTTTCTGACAGTCAACCCGGGCCGCAAGTTTATGCTACAGAGTCAGACTGTTTGCTCAATATACCCCGCATACAAAAACCAAAAGAACTGCGGATGCTGGAAATCAGGAACAAAAACAAAGTTGCTGGAAAAGCTCAGCAGGTCTGGCAGCATCTGTGAAGGAGAAAACAGTTAACGTTTCGGGTCCGGCGACCCTTCCTCAGAACCGCATATACGCGGCTCTATCTCTGCAACCAGTCCAAATGCTCCGCGCACAGCTCTACGGGCCAGACCGAGACAGCTCAATCTGTCCCTGTACTCACCTCGATCCGCGAGCCCGCCACTGCCGTCTCTCTTTCCCTCACGGCAACCCGCCGCCTGCGGAAATTCCACCTTCTATCGCTATTCCTATTGGCATCGACTTCATGATTGACATGCACAGTGCCACAGACTCCTGTCTCTGATTGGATCATTAATCTGTCAATCACCACCCTTCGGCACATGCGCACATGAGGTCAGAGTTCACCGGCCGCGGCTTGGCCCTTGACATCACTAGACCACGGACCTGAACTCTTTTCCCATTTTGAAATTTTCTGTCAGTCAGAAATTATTTTTCCTTCATCTTTATTTTCTCCCGGTCTCATTTCGCGGTTTCAAGCGTCATTTCCGAAAACAAACGTAACCGAGGACCGCGTTACCCCTTGACCCAGTGACGTCAGGTAGTTTGATTAAAAAAAGTTTCGTAAGTGGCACTGTGCGATCTCCAAATACAGAATTTATAATTTCCTCTAAACTGCCCGGCAATTTCTGAGAGAAGCGAATGGAAAATAATCAGTTTTTTAAAAAAGTGAGATGTGTGAATTAGTTGGGGGGGAAGGCGAGGGGTGCGCATGCGCGGGGGCAGAGGCTCGGTGGTGGCGACGACGTTCGAGATTTTCTCCATTTCCTTGGGCCGGGTGGCGCCTGCAGCCGAGGGCAGACAAAGGGTCGGGCTGTCACAAGGTGTGTAACTGCCAAGTGCTCGTCCTCCCTAGAGTAGGCTCCTGGGGCCTCGATTTGGACCCTCCGCTCAATCTGGGGCCTTCTCCACCGCCCGGGCGGTGTTTACAATACTGCGAAAACGAGCAATTAAATCTAAGCAGTACATCTGCACCATTTACCTGTCCTGCTTAAATACCGGACACCGGCAGGTACCTAGAGCTGGCCAAGCGAGTTAATATTACAATCGTAACAGGCCTAACAAGGGGGAATCCGCGAAAGAATATGCGTTACTTTGGATTGGAGACTTCTTCGAACGCATTACTCAGAAAGAAAGTAGGAGCAAGTAAAAGCCATTCAGTTCTTCGAGTGTGATCCGCCATTCAAATGATCATGGCTGATCATCAACTCAGTAGCCCCTTCTCGCTTTCTCCCCATAACCTCCAATCCGTTTAGCCCTAAGAATTATATCGAACTCCTTGAAGAGATTGTGTTTTTCCCTTAATTATTTTCTGTGGCAGAGAATTCCATAAGTTCACCACTTGGCCGGGGGGTGGCGGGGTGGCATTTCTCTTCAGTCTTAGGGCTGGCCTCTCGTTCTGGACTTCCCAGTCAACAGAACACCCTGCATTTGTTCCATCTAATCCTCTTAAACTTTTATAGAACTCCATGAGATCTCTTCACATTCTCAATCTCCAGTGAATATGGCCCTACCTGCCTCTCTTCATGCATCTGTATCCCAGGAATCAATCTGGTAAACCTTTCTTGTGCTCGTTCCTAAGACAGAACATCTTGCCTCAGATAATCAAATGAAAACTACACACAATACCTCAATTACGGCCTTAAAATGCAACAGGACAGCCCTGCTTTTGTAGTCAAATTGTCTTGCTATGAAAGCCAACCTTTGCCTTCTTCACTGCCAACTGCACCTGCATGCATACTTTCAGCAATTAGCGTGCAATGTCTCCAAGTCTCATTGCACTTCTCCCCTTTCCCAAATTATTACCATTCTGATAATCATCCTCCTTGTTTTTGCTACCAAAGTGGATAACCTCACATTTATCCATATTATAATTTATCTGCCATACATTGCCCCACTCTCTCAAACTATCCAAATCAAATTGTAGCATCTCCCATCCTCCTGGCAATTCACCCAGTTTTGTATAATCTACAAACTTCCCTTATCTAAACCATTAATCTATATTATGAACAGCTGGGATGCAAGCACTGATCCCTGTTGTACCCCATTGGTCAATAGGTTTCTCTCATAAAATGACCCGTTCATTCCTATTTTGTTTCCTGTCTGCCAATCAGTTCAATATCTATGACAGTGCACTACTCCCAATCCCATGCTGCTTCGTTTTACATGGTAATCTCTTATATTGGACCTTATCAAACACTGCCTCATCCACTGGCTCTCCTCAACAACTCTACTAGTAAAATCCTTGAAAAATTCCAGTAGATTTGTCAAGCATGATTTCCCATTAATAAATCCATGCTGGCATTATCCAATCATGCCACTTTTTTTCCAAGTACTGTACTATTAAATATTTGTTACAATAAAGACACAAGCATTTTCCCTGCTCCCAATGTCAGGCAAACTGGTCAATAATTCCCTCTTTTCCCTGAAAGGCTTTGATCTAAAATGTTAATGATTCTTCTCAGGTGTTGTCTGTTTGCTAGGTACCTTGTTAGCAGACTGGCAGAGGTGTAATTTGACTTCAAAATATTTTACTAGCCATATTAAAAATATTTGTGTGGTGGCCAAGGGACTATCTCAAAGTTGAAATCTGTTTGAACTGTTTCTGCATTGTGAATTATAGGTCTGGTTGAGAGTGCTGTTCTTTTTTTGAAGCTTTCCCTGCTACAGCTGTATTACGAAAGCAGAGTATTTAAGGGTCCAGATATTATGATAGCAAATAGGGAGGGTCTTGGATGAGTCTATCTTTCTTGATGACAACTGCTCTTGAAGAATTTTGACAGGAGTAGAGAGTGTCCTGAGAATTGTCCCTTTCGTCAGTATTACTGTTGAATGCATTCATTGAAAATGCCCGCAATCCTGCAACTGGTCGGCACAGTGGCTGAATGGTGAGCACTCCTGCCTCACAGCGCCACGGACCCAGGTTCAATTCACCCTTGGGCAACTGTCTATGCAAAGTTTGTAAGTTCTTCCCTTGTCTGCATGGGTTTCCTCCGAGTGCTCCAGTTTCCTACCACAATCCAAAGATGTGTAGGTAGCTGGATTGGCAATGGTAAATTGCCCACAGTGTCCAAGGATGTGTAGGTTGGGTGGATTAGTCATGGGAAATGCAGGGCTATGGGGATTGGGATGGGGGTGGAGGTTTGGGTGGGATGTTCTTCAGAGGGTCAGTGTGGACTAAGTAAGCCAAATGGCCTGCTTCCACGCTGGAAGGAATCTATGAAATGCAGGGCAAATGGCTACTGAGATAATTTCAGTATGTAGTTTTCTGTATGGATAGTAAAGTAAAGGCTTTTTGAGCCTTTTCTGCCATTCAAATAAGATTATGGGTGATCTAACTGTGGTTTCAAATCCACATTCCAGTCTGCCCCCAATTTTAACTGTCATCTGGGACTGAACTTGCTAATAATATGACTGCCAAGGACCTATATAGATATGTGATGTTTGTCAATACCAATGTGTTGAAGTGAACTGTCAACATAAACCATCTTGTTAGATTTCCAGGGAGTACTATTAGTTATGGAGAACTAAAACTGGTAAATTAGATGGTGTTCCATCTAATCTAACCCTTTAAAAACAAAGAGGTAGAAGTGTTACCTTACAAGTTGGGAACAAAAGTAGGATTTCAGCTTGTTGAATCTGCTTCATGATTCAGTGACATATCTGATCTGGTAATCCTCAACTCCATTTCCTTGCTTTTTCCCAATAACCCTTGATTTCTGTACTGCTTAAAAATCTGTCTTTCTGAACCTTGAATGTACTTAATGTCACAGCTTTTACAGCTCTCTGTGATAAAGAATTCCATAGATCACAATCCTCTGAGAGAAGAAATTCCTTCTTATTTCAGTCTTAAATGTGCAACCCTTTATTCTGAGATTATGTCCTCTGGTCGTAGACTCTTTCACAATGGAATCAACCTTTCTGCGTGTAACCTGTTGAGTCCCTTAAGAATCTTGTACAGTTCAATAAGGTCACCTCTTATTCTTCTGTATTCCAACGAGTGTGTCCCAATCTACTCAACTTGTCCTCATAATATTAGCCCTCCTTACCTGGTGTGAAACTAGTGAACTGTCTGTGGACTGCCCCCAATGCTGGTATATTCTCCTTTAGATCAGGAGCTGTGGTCTGACTAGTGCCTTGTATAGTTTTAGCAAAACTTCCCTATTTTAATGCTCCGCTCCTTTTAAATGAAAGGCCAACATTTCATCTGCCTTCCCTATCACCTGCTGAAGTTGAATGCTAGCTTTTTCTGATTCATGGCTGAGGACTCCCAAATTCCTCTGTTCAGTACCTTCCTTCGGTCTTGCTCTGTTTGAATGATATGCACCTGCTCTATTCTTGTTGCTAAAGTGCATAACTTTGTATTTTCCCTCATTATATTCCATTTGCCATGTGTTTGCCCGCTTGCCTAAAGTACATTTTATCTCTATGTGGACTCTGTGTCATCCTAGCCAATTGCTTTCCCACCTATTTTTGTGTCATTCACAAACTTGACTACAATATATTCACTTACTCATTCAAGACCTTGGTAAATATTGTAAAGAACTGAGGCCCCCGCCTGATCCCTGTGTCATGCTACTAGTTACAGGTTGGCATCCAGAAAATGCCTGCCTTATCCCAGGTCTGTATTTTATTAGCTGATCCTCTATCCATCCGTTCTCTATGACAATGCCTTTACCAGCCGGAAATCACTTGCCAACCAATCAGGATTCTGCTCCCACAATATAAATGTTGATTTCTGCCCTTAAATGGGTGTTCTTGTGAGTTGGTCCGATGAATCTTTAATAAAACATCTTTTTACAATCTTGAGTATTATTGAAATTAGTTGAGAAACTCGTGCTGATCCCTGTACACTTCTTATTATGTCTTCTTAGCCCAAAATGGGACATCTATTTATACAGTTTCCTGCTAGCTCAACAGTCCTCTATCCGTGCATTATTATCATTTTCCCTACACCCTGAGCTCTTCTTGTTAATAACGTTTGACATGGCGCCTTGTCAAATGCTTTATGGAAATCCATGTCCTCCAGGTTTCCTAGGATCTGTTTTATCCACTTTGCTTGTTACTTCCTTTGGTGCTGTCTCTATGCCATTTCTGTGGGTGCACCATACTGTCACGTTGGTACTTATTCATTTTCTTTTAACTGATACAATGAGGAGCTGTCAAAACGATTTCACTGCATTAGTTCTTAAACTGTAGTAGTGCTCTGTAATTCAAAACAGATCATAACGCA